TGCAGAGTACGTACTCTCTGAAAATAAGACTCTCATCCTCAGATGCACTCTCCTCTCTTTCAGGTTCTGTGACAGCTTCTGAACTGACTCAGCCACCTGCGGTGTCTGTGGCCTTGGGACAGACGGCCACGATTACATGCGAGGGAGACAGCTTCGAGAGCAGTATTATTAACTGGTATCAGCAGAAACCAGGCCAAGCCCCCGTGCTGGTCATTTATGAGGATACTGAGCAGCCCACAGGGATTCCTGACAGATTCTCTGGCTCCAGCTCGGGGGATGCAGCCACTCTGACCATCACCGGGGCCCGGGCTGAGGACGAGGCTGACTATTACTGTCAGTCCTATGATAACAGTGGTGATGATCACAGTGACACAGGCAGATGGGGAAGTGAGACACAAACCCCTGTGTCACACTCTCCTCCAGTCCCAGCAGGACTGTGCACAAAGCAATCGGTAGGTCTGGCCCAGGTCCCCAGATCTGAGGTCTGGAGTCTGTCCCCTTACTCTTCACCTACCAGGCAGGCTCTGCACAGTGTGGATCAGCAGGGGACTCATAAACAGTTATTAGAACAACATTTCCTCCGTGACTGTGGGTGAATGAATGCCTGCGTGTAGAGGAGCAGACATGGAAGACATTTCTCAAAGACCAACTTCTTTAAAACTCCCGTAATGAAATGTTCTGAAATTTAAAAATACACTGGATAGATTGACAGCAGATTGGATGCTGTAAAAGAAGAGAAGGGTGAATTTGATGTCACGCAATTAAAACTATTCAAAATGAAACACAGAAGCAAACACCTAAGAAAAAAAGTGAATATAAGCTCAGTGCCTGTAGGACAACTTCAGGGCACCCAGAGAGTGTGCAGGATAGAAACAGAGGGAGAGAAGAGAAGGAACTCATGGTTCATAAAACATAGGTGAGGAAATAATCTATAAAAAGGCTTCAAATTTGGTGAAATCCATAAACCAATATATCCAAGAGTCTAAAGAAAGCTTGGGCACAGGGGACACGAAAGACAGCACAGAACACATCTTGAGGAAATTGCTAGAAACGAGTGATGCCGACACTCTCACAGCCGGAGAGGAGATGTGTTCCCTACAGAGGAACCAATTTCATGGTGGAAGCACATTTCTCATTACAGCCATGTAAGCAAGAGAACAGGGAGCAATGTCTTCACAATCCCCCTAGAAAATGCCTGTAAACTTTGGCCTTTACCCAGGAGAAATCTCATTGAAAAGGGAAGACACACTAATCCTTTCTCAGACCGCAAACCTCTCAGAACACCCACAGACCCTTGGCACAAGCAACAGTAAAGGACGCCCCTCAGACAGAAGGAAAGGGTGACAGAGGGAAAGGGGAATACACACAAAGATAGAAAAAGCATCAGGTATCATAACTCCATGGGTAAATACAAAAATAAGTTTAGTGGTTCATATTTATAGAAGATAGTCAAGTGTTTAAAGAAAAACTATAGTAGTGTATGTGATATATGACGGATGTACAAAAAAAAAAAAAAACCACACATGAAATTGTAAAGAAGATGAGACCGTGTTATGACATCCTTATCCTACAGTGTGAATGATTCCATGGCCTGGGACACACTTTTATAGTTAGTAGCTGAGGACTGTATACCCAAAATAAACCATTAAAATAATACTATGTTAACAATAAAGGGTTATAACTAATGAGGCGCGTTACATAGCACAGTCCAGAGAATACAGATCCAATAGAACATGTGTGTCATGTATGGGTCTGTGCATATTTATCTGTGATGCAGAGACAGAGGCAGTGGGAGAGAGCGACAATGACGTTGAGAAATGTCTCACACAGCCATGGGGTGGTAGGTCTGGAAGCTGCAGAAAGGACAGAAGGCTGTGGATTTAAGTCAGGACGATGTTGCAGACTTTAACCCAAATCTAGTCTGAATGACAGAAATGCTAAGAGGAGACAGAGAAGAAAATTAAAGGATCCAAATCAAACTACTAGAGATGAAACCCACAAGGTCTCAGATTACAAACACAAGAACTGAGATCAGCAGCAGACACGATGTGCAGACACGTGATTGAACATGAACGCAGCATGGACACTGCAAAAGAAAGGCACAAAATGACTTTAAAGTGATTAGAGCACCACTGAGTGTAGGAAAGTTCAGCAACGGATACACATGTGATTGTGTCCCCAGGGAGTGAAGGAGGGGAGGTGGAAAAGAATATTGATGAATTAGTGACCACAAAGGTTCTAAATGTCATGAAAATTCAAAACCTATGGATTCCAAATTCTTGAGAAACCCGAGCACAATGAGGGTAAAGCAATGGGGGTAAAAACTACACACAACACCCATCAATATCCAATTGTTTAAGGCAGAGAAAAAGAGTTTTAAAAGAGGGCAGAGAGGAAAGTTACTTGGTTCAGGGGAATACGGATAAGGATTCCAACAGATTTCTCAATAGCAGAGATGCACGAGAGAGGGCGGTGGATTAACATCTTTAAAAAAACGAAAAAGAAAAACCTTAATTCTTTATCCAGGGAAATTATCCTTCCCTGATGAAGGATATTATAAATTTTTTCAGATGTACCAAAGTGACAGAATTGATCATCGGCACACCCTCAATACAAGAAATAATACTGGACTTCCCTCCCATAGGAGAAATGGATTCCAGAGAGAATCTGAATCTACAAAATGAATGTAAGAGTCAGAAATGATAGCTACAGAGGTAAACATTAAGAATATGTTTATTATTTACCTCTCTTTGAAAAAGAAATCACCATCTAAAGCAAATCTAATAACTGCAGATGTTGGAATTTACACTGTAGCTAACAGTGAGGTGATGACACTCATACCGCAGGGCTGAGGAGAGCGAGCTGGAAGTGTGCTCTAAGGATGTGATCCTCTCTGTCACGAGTTTAATATCGCCTGAATGCAGACAGTCAGGGGCCACAGATAATAAGTCTAAAAAGAGAAATGAAATGGACCATAAAAAATGTTCCATTATTCAAGAACAAGAGATAAATGTAAAAAGAGAACAGAGTAAACACGGAGCATAGAGAAAACAAACAGCAGGATGCAATATAACTGGGTAGCAGGTTGCTACCCAGAGCCAGGAAATGGTCCAAGCACGACAACTGAAAGACGATTTTGTCAAATTGGCTTTAACAACATCACACAGATAAGAAACCTACAGTAAATAAAATGATGCTAAGTACAAGTTCAGGACGATATTCCCACCTGATTCTTTTCCACAAGTTGAGATATAAAAAATTCACAGAACAGACAGAGAATCAAGGAAGATGAATTGAACTCTTACAAATGGTTATGGTGGAATATTTCATGTAATGTGTGTTTTAAAGAACACAACAATGGAAACAAATGACCACAGTGCACATTTCGTGAGAAAAGATACAGAAATGCCCTCACGTCCCCCTCACTGTGCTGCAGTTTTTGATATTCAAACACAGAGTGACATGAGCTCCCCTAAGAGATCCAAGAGGTGAGCACAGCTCCACGTGAACCAGATCCATGAAGCCCACCCAGGAGCACTGAGATTCTCTCCACCAGCCTGAGAAGGAGCATTTTCATGGGGACCAGTGAGGACATGAGGGAGACATTGAGTGGCAAGTCTCAGAGTGGGCTCAGGAGATAGAAGTCTGGGGTCCCCACCATGGCCTGGAACTTCCTGCTCTCCCTCCTCACTCTCTGCCCAGATGCTCCCTCCAGGCCCTACCCACAGGTTCAGTCCCCACAGGGCCCTGAGCATGACCCTGACCTTGAGTCAGTCTAGAGGGTACCGCAGGGGGTGGGCCCCAGGGAAAGAGCCCCATGGTCTCCTCAACCTGAAGGCCTTGTGTCTGTCCCCTGCAAGACTCAGGTGCCTCATTTTAGAGTGGCCATGAGACCTCTGTCACTTTCCCAAGCCTGGGGGACAGAGAAAACCAAACAATAATATGAAGCTAGACCAGGTCCCTGCACAGCCAACAGCCTCCACCGGCTCCACAGATTCTCCAAGTCTAACCTGAGACACAATCCTGCTGACTGTCCCTATGTGTAGGCTGAGGAGGCTCCTTTATAGGCCAGAATAGGATGGGGTTGCAGTGGGTCCAGCGACAGAAGCCCCACTACCCAGCTTGGCCTCACCCTCCCTCCTTCATGCCCTGGACAACTGTGCTCCAGAGGGCCCAGAGTCTGAATCCAGTACACCTGGGCTGCACTCCTGGCTCGCACTGTTTTCCTCTGTATTCTGGGAAACTAGTCTCTCTGGACCTTAACTTCACGTTCCATGTAATGGGGAAGATTATATTGACGTCAGAATCACATTGCTTTCAAATTGAATGAGAAAAAATATTGACAGAGTCTAATTATTGAAAAAGAGACTGCAGGGTCTCAGTCAATGGGTGCTGGTCCGGTATTCTGACAGATTTGTCCATCCTCTGCAGAAATCCAAGGAAAAGGGCTCAGCAAAACTGTGACATTTATGATGTGAAATTGCATATCCAGCTCCGAATTCCCAATTCCCTGTGTCATTCGGGTCACCAACTAGGCTAGTGTAGAAAACCTCCTGCCCCAAACTACAAGTGATAAGGGCTGTAATAACAATGGTGGTAGGAGAGATGATAGTAATAATCCTAATGAAGACTTAGGTGCACACGTGAACTTTAGTGCTAGAAGCATCACCTGTTCCACCGTGACCCAACTGCACTCATTGGGATACAGGACACATCAGACTTGATTCCTAAATGGAGAGAAATGGGTAGTAATAGTATGTCACAAAGGTTTCCTGGACTGCGGCCCTTTCCAAACGCACTAAAATTTACTCTGCACTAACCCTGTTGTAACAAGACAAAGGGCCAGGCTAGGGCACTTCACCCTTGGACACGTACAGGAACCACACCTGTCCTGCCTCCTGCACCGTGTATGTGACCTGTGTGTGCTGGGCTGGGGAGAGCAGGGGGCAGCTGCCTGGGGGAGGCTGGGCTCCCTGGCCACACCCTTTCTCAGGTGACAGGTGCTTTGGGGTGACCTGACCTGCAGGAGGGAAGCTGCCGGTCTGAGTCGTCCTCCACCAGCAGGGGGCAGCAGAGCTGCAGCAGGAGAAGCAGGACAGAGGCTGGGGTTGCCCAGGTGGAGCTTCACAGGGACACCAGGCCTGGGGGGTGTCTGTCCAGGGTTCAGTCATCAGAAGAAAGTGGGGATGATCCAACCTATCTTCTCAGGCTGCAGGGACCATGTTCTGAGGGTCAGACACACAGTGTCATACAGGACACCGACAGGATTTCTGACACAGTGATTACCTCAACTGGGAAATTCCAATCACTTCACTGTCCAGCAGAAGTCCCAGGAGCTGACCCTTCTGTGATGGGCACATCCGGAGCTATCCTGACCACTCACCCTCTGCCTCTCCTTCCCCACCTACAGGTGGACTCGGGTCGAGGGCTGAAGCATCAGCATCCTTGCTCAGGAGTGTCTCAGGGGCAGGAGGTGGGCCGATCAGAGCCTCCAGTCACTGAAGGAAGGGTCTGCAGCCACCTTGTGAGACTGTCTCCAGTGTGAAGTGGATTCTGCCAGCCTCAGACCACAGCTCTGGCCCCTGGGATGTCAGTGTTCCGGGACAGGATCCAGCTCCCTGCAGTGACCACAGACTATCTCGTCCCCATAGCTCACAATGTGACCAAAGACATGACTCTGGTGACCCTCACAGAGACACAGTGCTTGACTCTTCAAGAGGTCATTAGTATTAATGTACTAATTAATTAATTAGTATTAAAACTAATACCTCTAGCGCAGCAGAGTGTAGGGTCGTGGTGACAGGGAGTTATAATTTTGTAGCAGGTCACCAAGAATATGTGTGAGTGGAGACATTCCCAATTCCAATTCTTAAATCCTGGACCCATGAATGTTAGCTATGGGAGAAACAGCACCGCATATTGGATACAGATTTAGTACAAATATCACCTTCCGGACAATTTACCCAAGCCAAACAAGGTACTGCCATGTGGTTGGCACAGTGAGTGAGTCTTCAAGAGGCCATTAGTCTATTCATCAAGCCAGCTGTCTCAGAATGTTGGGGAAGATGGTTGAGCCAATGAATTCCATGGGCATGGGCACGTTGCAGCCCTTCTTTTGATATAAAATGAGAGCTTTGGATAGAAGTCACAGTGAAATACTAGAACAGTGGGGGAGGCATTCTTCAAGTCCAAGGGTAATATTTTCGGTAGAAGCATTGCAGTCAAAGAAAGGAAGTCCCTATCTAGAGGAGAGGTCTATTCCAATAACAGAGCTACCCCTTCCATGATGGAATAATAAGTCTAATGTAATGAATCTGCCAGCAGGCTCTAGGCTGATTTCCAAGGAAATGGTCTCACACTGGGAACTCAGGGTTGGTCTCTGCTGTTTGCATACTGGTCCTGAGAAGTGGCCATAGCCAGGTCAGCTTTAATGAGTGAAATCCACATGAATAACCACCCAACTTCCAACACGGGCACTTTGCTATGGAGTCCACTGAACAAGTTCAGGAGTAGATGGAGAAGAAAGGTGACCACTTTCCCCATACGTGTCACATTATCCAACTGATTATTCACATTGATTCATTTTGAGGACACACTATGGTAGGCATTTTCATGAGACACAATTAGCATCCACCTTTGTGTTCACTGGGAGTGTTCACCTCACATATTTCTTCCTCAAACATCTTTCATCAGTTTTCTTACTGTGTTTCTTTCAAGTCTCTGAACATCCAGCCAAATATTGAGTGAGAGCCTATAGGTGAGTATAAAGCCACCTCTGACCTTCTCTCTGTCCAGACAAATGAACCAACTACTCGGCTCAAATGTTACGTTTGAAAATTTTCCCCACCCATGTTGTGCAGGAAGGTCCCACATTAGGGCTGCAGTGTTAACTCTCAAAGTTGGCTGCATACCATAGAGGAACGTCTGTAAGCCAGCCCTCTGTTTTTTTCTCTGTATCAGCTGGTCATAGGATTGTCCCCACTGGGCCACAGACATGCGAGACAGAGAAAAGACAATACAGCTGGGATTGGGGTCATGGGCATCTGGCCTCTTCCTCATGCAACTCAACTGTGCCTTCATGACCTGGTGAAGCCTAACCTCAAATTTACCTCCTCTGTTTAATGATGGAGAGCTGCTGTGAATGCCCAAATCCATGCATGGTTAGTCAGGTAACACCCAATTCATGTAGGCAGCTCAGGTCACATGTAACTTTAGTGCTTTATAAGGGGCATACATTCCCTGTTATGTTCAATAGCAAGCCAAAGTATTTGCCAAATGAAGCTCTCTGCTTATACAGATGTAAAAAAAAAATGGTGTGCTATGCATCTATTCTTGTGATAGGAACACATCGTTAACTGACACCAATGTCCTTGGCCAAATGAGTCTGAACACTAATTTGGTCCTGCTATTCATTACAGTGACCACATCCACTTCCTCATTGTTGATAAAATGGGACTGCAGGCCTCATACCAATGCAAGGATCCCATCAACTACAACTTAGGTACCCAATCCAGAGATCAGAATCTCTACAGAATATATGTGTACATATGGCAAATATGCATACACACACACACAATCTACCAACATACACACACAGACCCAATTAGTATATATATGCATACATATTCACAAATATATTCTTACATGTTGTGTATAAATATATAATATAAAGCATGTGTGGCAGGAATTTGATGTCATGCAGAACATACACACATATCAGTGAGCCACAGATAAGACACAGGGATGGTCAGTAACAAAAGGGCTCCTGCTTCCCTTTCAGTTTTCAGGGAAATTCCACAGGGATTCCTCTTGTGATTCACCTTTCCTAGAAACATACAACAATGAGAATTCTGAACATCAGTCCTGCCCCTCAAAATTTTAACTTGTAAAAAAAAATATCACTTTGGAACTCAAACCATTTTGAATCATAGACACCTAAGGTCGTCACTGTCCCTGCATCTTCAGACAAACCAGACTCTTCTCCACAGCAACTGACCCCAAACACACTCCTTAGTTCTTGTTCCTTCTTCCCATCCTGACAGCAGCTCCAAGGTCACCTCTGCCAGAGAGGCCTCCTCCAGCCTCTCACCACACAGCACCTGCCTCTCATCTTGTATGATTTCAGTTCATTATCTGCACACCATCCAACACTGTATATTTTCCCATATCACTTTATTAATTAATTGATTTTTGTGGTAATTTTTATCCTAATTTGTCAGGAAGTTTTTAATGTAACACACGCACATCTGAATCAGAGGCATGAACACTCAGGTGTTTAATTTTCTCCCGCAGAAGTAAGGCTGAAGTCAGATTGTATTTCTCCTGGTAGGCAACAATTCTGTGAGCTCCCACATCTGCTCACTTTCTGTCCCACCATCACTACTACGGAGGCTTTGCTTTTACCTGTTGTCACACCCAAGTACAAGGAAAGAGCACTGCATAAATCTACTCTGTTTCTTCCCTCACAAGAGTAAAAGTCCCCCAAAAGATCCCCAAACAAATGACACATTCAAGGGGTCAGTTCTTGGCCACAGGGCCAATCTTGACATCTCAAGAGAGACTTGACAATAGCAATAGTGTGGTTTCTAAATGAATATGGAAGACGAGATACAAGTAGGAGAGGTTGGAGACTGTCTCCGGTACCAACAAAGCAAGACTTCCACTCTGCTGCAGCAGTCCTAAGATGGAAACTCTGACCCAGGGCCTGTGTCCTGTTCACACTGATTTCCCAGGATGCAATGTGTCCCAGACTAAGCGGATCTGAATTAGTGTTTGTTGGACGAGTGTTTTCCTCTGTCTTGGGAGCAGTAGCCGTCATCACACTATTGGTGACACCAGCAGCCAGTGCCAGTTAGAGGCAGTCCCTGGCTTCTGTGTAGCTTTGTGTCACGCCGCAGAACCACTCCCACGGCCACCCACCTCCCCAGAGACAGGAGCAGTGATACCGCAGATGGGCCCTGCCTCCTCCTCCTCCTCACATGAGCCTCTTCCTACTTGCATGGATAACCTGACGTCCTCCTGCCTGGTCTTGAGGCTGACAGAGGCCCCGCAGAGAAGAGGAATTCCTTCCCTGGGGTCAGCAGTCCATGGATCAGGGAATCAGGATCTGAGCACTGGGTTCTGAATCTCCACCCGGACAAAGGATTTCACTGGGCCTCGGGCGGTCAAGTGGAGCGGCCACCAGGGGGCAGCAGAGATCACCTGGCAAAGGCCCCTGCACATGGGGAGGGTCTGGGCAACAGGGCATATGCAGGGAGGGTTAGTCATGAGACTTGACTGAAAAGTGTAGGTTGTCTATGGCATTACCTTTGACTCTGGTGTAAGCTACTGGTTCAGTGTCTCTCAGATTTGTCTCCTGTACAATGTGCTCCTGTCTCTAGCACAGATCCAGCAATTCCTGCCTCTCCAGCCCGGCCCA